GATGAGTATAACCAATAAATCAAGATTTCTGCACCCACCATCATGTGATATGAAACAACTGTGATTTCTGTTGGTGATAAAGTCCTAAGTACTCCCCACACTACTGGTGGTTTGCTACCTCCATTCATAATCGAAGGAAATGCTAAATTTCAGTTAGAAGTCAGTGAAAATGACGATGTAACTTTTCCTCCATCCAAGTTTATGGACCCTCTCAATTCTTCCCATGGACCTCAGGTTAAGAACTGCTGGATTAGATGGAGCAGCCAGGGAAAGTGCAGCCCCTGGGAGAGGAAGGATTCGGGTAATCAAGGCCCTAAAAGAAAGGGGGAGCTTGCCTTAGAGTGAGGCAAGTCCACAATTTCAAGATAAAGGTACCCCCTGAGTTTGAAATAAGGACCACAGATGAAGCTGGAAAAACCATTTAAGAGATCGTTGGGAAAATGTTAACACTGAAACATAATAGATGATATTAAGGAATTATTAGGGTTTTTTAAGGTATGTTTGGAATTGTGGTTAAAATGAAGTTTTATCACATAGAAACATAAATATGTATACTTGAATCAAGATATCTTGGATTTGCTTTTAAATGACTGGGGATTAGGAGAGTGGAGGAGTACAGATGAAACAAGACTGAATGTATATTGGTAGTTGTTGAGACTGGGTGATGGGTAGATGGGGCTCATTAAACCATTTTTTCTGCATTTATATATGTTTGAAATTATCCATTTACAAAGTTTTTCAAGTGTAGTAGATAAAATTAGCCATCTGCAGAGAGTCAGTTTTTGGACTTGAGAATTTAGGAAGGAGCACTCAAGATTAAGGTACGTAGTATATAATTTCAAGGAATTATGATTGTAAGAATGTGTCACAATACAGCATGGTAAAGAATGCTGCTGTGATATAGTTAAAATATAGTCTCATTTTAGTGAATAACTGAGTTCTGAGAGGGGAAATGGTAAGCATTAAGCTTAAGAGTCATTGTTGATCCAAATGAATGTTCATGGCTCCCAGACCCAAGAGAGAGACCACTGGCTGGGGGGAGCGGGGTGGGAGAGACTTCCAGGATTTTTCATGTCCGAGATCAACATGTCTCTAATAAGTGTGATCCATGGACTACTTGTACTAATGTTCACCTGGGGTTTTTACTAAAAATGCAGAATCCTTGCTCCACCCCCGTCTCATTGACTCAGAATTTTAGGGGAAAGGAGCCCAGGTTCCTATACTTTTAATAAATCCCCCAGATGAATTTTAGCACATGTGAAGTTCAAAAACTATAGAGGAGAATGAAATAGCTACCTGTTACTGAGCAGTTTTACCATCTGCCAGATACCATGCTGAACCTTCACACATATCCACCTCACAGCAACCCTGAGGGTGGTGAGGAAATCTCACCTTAGAAAAATTAAGTTACTTGCTGGAGGTCACCCAGTTAGAAATGGCAAAGTGGGATTTCAGACCAAACTCTGACCCCACAGCCCGTGCTCGTGGCTACTACCCTGCTGCCTCCATCGGGCCGCCTCTCTTCTCTGATCCTGTGCCCGCCTACCCCACCCTCATGGGGCGGGTGTGTCCTACAGAGGATGTGACTGTTCCAGTCCCTGGGCAGGGACAGCTCCTGCTGTAAATTAATAATTAGTGTCTGGTCTATGCATTAGCCCATTTTTTTTTTTAGGTTGTTGTGAATCAGTCCCAAAGAATACTTGAGACCTTATACTTGAAATAAACTGGCTTGTAAAATTTCTGCAGCTGTTATAAATATTCCTATATTCTAAACCTTTTTTCTGCTCCCGTATTCCTAAGAGATTGAATACATTTCCATCAGTGACGGAAACCTACCAGGACTTTGCCAGCCAGAGAGCAGGATTTAGGGCACACTCCTAGGAGAAGCTGGTGGGGCTTGAGGGAGGACAGAATAAACGCGGGCTTTCAAAGGGGCCATGCTGTGTGCTCTTTCATGTCGTTTTATACTTTCAGTCCTACAAGGTAGGTTCTAACAGATCCACAACTCCGTATTTTCAGTTCCGAACCCTCAAAGCTCAAAAAAACAGTATTTTCAGTGTGCAACAAATTCACTTGGCAGCGGAAGCAAACCCTGACCTCAGCTTATGTGGGGCTGTTTATAACGTTTATTCATATTCTTTGATGAGAATATTAGTGCTTGATCCCAGGGTGCTGCCCAGCCCTCACTGGGGATGTTATAAAGTGTGTGGTGTGTGTTCTATGTTGTTGTTCTAAAATCTAAGGAATTTTTCAAAACACTCTTGACCCCAGGAGTTTCAGGTGAGAAGGTATGAGAGTTAAGTATTTTCTCAGCATGTTGCTAGTGAGCTGTGTCTCTAGACTTGGAAAAGGCCTTGTGTGCTTTTTTTCAACTCTGCCACACTGCCATTTAAAGAGGACATTGAAAGTCATTTACTTATTTGAAAGGAGTCTGTTAGCTTTGCAAATACTTGTATAAGTGTGGAAGAAGCCTCGAGGAAAGTGCTTTAAAGTTATGTCTTTGGTCTATTACCATTTGGTCATTGGTAGAGCTTCAGACCTACCTTGCTCCTCTTTCTGGGTGTGCCCCAGAGAAATATTACTTTATTTGGAATGTATACAGTGTTTCTGCATCTTCAGGTAGAATTGAGTAGGAAGAGGAATGAAGATAACGTAACACTGAGGCATTAAGGTTGTGACTGTTCCCCTTTCTGCTTGGCCATCTAGAAAGCAGTCTTAGTACCAAAATAATAATCTGAATCTGCGAAATTTCTCATGAATAAGGATTATGGTGATGACATTCCCAAAGAATTAAAAATAATGAGAATCTCTGAATGATATTGAGTTAAAATATCTTTTTCTGGCTAAATCAATATTTTTTTCCCCTGTTCTTTGTCCAGAATGTCTCACTCAGACGAAAAAAATTCTGATTTTTTTCAAGCAAAAATCTTCTAAAGTCCTCCCCTTTAGGCTTTTCTTATTTCTGTAAAACGTGGTATTTTTGCTTAAACGTTGATGTGTGTTCCATGCTTTTTCTCTTGTGGGATTATCATGTCTCATTTAGATTTTCCTGTTGAGTATTAATTTTATGTGTGTTATATGCTTTGTAAGAGTGGACCAGCCCCATGACACACAAGACGTTGGTAAGCGTTAGGGGAACTAAGCATATAAAGGATAGCCTGTACTCATTTCCTATTAAGACAAGTAGGGATTTAAAGTTCTTCTTTTCATAAAATAAACCTGTGGTATTGTGGTATAATGAAAATTATATATTGGACCTTTGTCCCTGGTTCCTGGTGTAGCGCTCCTAAATCCCTTGGAATTTCCTGAGTGATAGGATGGGGACTGGTTGCCAGCGGAACCAGCCACATAATTAGAGGGTTAGAACTTTCAGCCCAACCCCCAACCTCTGGAGCGGAGACAGGGGCTGGAGATCGAGCTGGTTCACCAATGGCCAGTGCTTTCATCAGTGCGCCTGCGCAGTGAAGTGTCAATAAACCTCTGAGGCCAAGGGAGTTTCCAGTTTGGTGAACACCTGGATGTGCTGGAAGGGTGGTGCACCTGCAGAGGGCAGGGAAGCCCCGCCCACTCCCCATCCCCAGCCTTTGCCCTGTGCATCTCTGCCTTTTGGCTGTTCCTTAGTTGTATTCTTTATAATAAAGCAGTTAATGTAAGTAAAGCCCTTTCCTGAATTCCATGAGTTGCTCTAGCAAATTATTGAACTGAGAGGTCATGGGAACTCCCAGATCTCTGGCTGATTGGTCAAAAGTACGGGCGGCCCCTGGGACTTGCCACTAGCATCTGAACTGGGGGCAGTTTTGTGTTACTGAGCCCTTATAACTCCAGGTAGTTAGTGTCAGAACTGAATTGAATTGTAAGATACAGTTGATGTTGGTGTTGGAGAATTAGAGACTTGGTGCTGGAATGCTGCAGGTGTCTTGTCTATTTAATGTGTAACCACGTCACCATCATCTTCTCTTCCAGTATCTGACCAAGCAGGTGGAGCTTCTACGGCAGATGAATGAACAGCATGCAAAGGTTTATGAGCAGTTAGATGTCACAGCAAGGGAACTGGAGGAAACAAATCATAAGCTTGTTGCTGACAGCAAGGCCTCACAGCAAAAGATTCTGAGGTAAATTTTCTAGAATCCATTGAAGAAGCCCTAGGGAAATGTCATTTAGTATAAACCAGAATAGAACATGGCTGTAGTGGGTTTGGGTCAGTATGAAGTAAGGTTTAATTTAATTCTCTGTGGAGAACAGAGATTAAATAGAAGTCTTTTCCAATTAAGAAAGCCCAGTTTGAGTGGCTGGCAACTAATCTCTCTCCTGACTGCTTATGCCCCTTATTTAATATGACAAGCAGCAATTGGCTTCTGTCTGTTCCTTGCAGTCTGACTGAAACAATTGAATGCCTGCAAACCAACATTGATCACCTCCAGAGCCAAGTGGAGGAGTTGAAGGCATCTGGCCAAGGGAGAAGGAGCCAGGGGAAACTTGACCAGGAGAAGTCGGCACCCAGCTTCTCGTGTCTGAAAGAGCTGTATGACCTCCGCCAGTAAGAGCCTGCTTTTCCGTGGCATTTGCGAGCAGGGGAGCATCCCTTATCACTGCCACGTTCTGGACTCCAGGAGACTAAAAGTACCCTTTTAGGAAACACCACTTGGCTATTAGACCACCAGTGGTTTGAACAAAACCACTTAATTCAAACATACAAATGATAGAGTTCTTGGGTATTAGTAATTCTGTGAAAACTTGTTCTGTAAAGTCTTGGGAGTACTTAGTGCTTTTAATGTGTTAAGTCTTAGTTTAAAATAATAGTCCGATAGACTACAGACTTGGGGGTTGTATTTCACATGACTGCGAAGGAAAAAAAGTGAAACTTTAGTAAAACAAAAATCCAGGCAAACAAGGTTGTTTTTTTTTTTTTTTTTTACCCTGGAGAAAAATGTAAAGACAGTTTAGATTTAATGAGACTGAATCTTTAAGAACTATTTCTTGAGCATTTGTAGGCAGGTGTTAAGCCAGGCACGATGAGTGGTGAGAAAAATAGATACAGTTCATGGAGCTCTCAGCCTCACGGAGAGGCAGATAAACGATAATCACAAATAAACACAGTTACAAGTTGCTGAGGGCTCTGAACAGGAGAGAGACCAGCTCGTGCACTGGGTGGGTCTCAGTCCTGACTGTTGATCAAGTCACCTGTATCGTAGTTTGGGTCAGTATGAAGTAAGGTGACTACGATACCGGTGACTCCTGCAGGCCTAAAGAACCTCTAGGTGTGAATAAAAGTTGCCTGGGTGATTCTGATGTGCATTCCTGGTTTAAAAATCACTGCAACAATGCTTCCTCAAACTTGGCTGCATATTACGAATCACGTGAAGAGCTCAAAAAGAAAACAAAACAAAACCCAAGTCCGGGTGGCAGACCAGCGAGGTCAGAATCAATGGGGGTAGAACCCAGGCATCAGTGTATTTTAAGACTACCCACGGGATTCTGCTCTACAGCCAAGGCTGGGAACCACGGGGCCGTTCTGTTTCCTTGAACGGTATCAGTCATACTGCTGGTCTCTGGGAATGCGTGTTCTGTAGTACTGTTAATGTTAAAAAAAAAAAACTAGTCAGAAAAATTAAGTTTTCTTACATGTGTTTATTTGCCAGCCTCGCACATTCATCTTAGCCACTGCTCTGGTGCGAAGTAGGCAAAAAACTGGTCGTCACAGCTCCTCAAAAATATGTAGTTGAAAAAAATCACGTCTCCCTCTGCGTTCTCAGTGGACCTGTGTAATAGATTCTTTTGATGTTTTCCCCAGGCACTTCGTGTATGACCACGTGTTCGCGGAGAAGATCACTTCCCTGCAGAGTCAGCAAAGCCCTGACGAAGAAGAAAACGAGCATCTGAAGAAAACAGTGACAATGTTGCAGGCCCAGCTGAGCCTGGAGCGGCAGAAGCGGGTGACCATGGAGGAGGAGTACGGGCTGGTGCTGAAGGAGAACAGTGAACTGGAGCAGCAGCTGGGGGCCACGGATGCCTACCGAGCCCGTGCGCAGGAGCTGGAGGCCGAGGTGGCGGAGATGCGGCAGATGCTGCAGTCGGAGCATCCTTTCATGAATGGGGTTGAGAAGCTGGTGCCGGACTCTCTGTTTGTCCCATTCAAGGAGCCCAGCCAGAGCCTGCTGGAGGAGATGCTCCTGACGGCGCCCGAAGCACACAGAAAGCCTCTCAAGCGCAGCAGCAGTGAGACGGTGCTGAGCAGCCTGCTGGGGGGCGACATCGTGAAGGGCCACGAGGAGACCTGCATTCGGAGGGCCAAGGCGGTGAGGCAGAGGGGCGTCTCCCTTCTGCACGAGGTGGACACGCAGTACAGCGCCCTGAAGGTGAAGTACGAGGAGCTGCTGAAGAAGTGCCAGCAGGAGGAGGACTCCCTGTCCCACAAGGCCGTGCAGACCTCCAGGGCTCTGGCCAAGGACCCGGCCGCAGTGAGCACCCAGTCCACGCCTGGCACCAGCGGCTGGGAACCGGCCTGCGTCACCCCAGAGCCCATTGGCTCCCCCACCACCACGACGCCTCCCGAATACAAAGCGCTTTTTAAGGAAATCTTTAGCTGCATCAAGAAAACTAAACAGGAAATAGATGAGCAGAGAACAAAATACCGAGCTCTCTCTTCCCATTCCTAAGTGAACCTCCAGCTCCACTACTGATTGGCGTGTTTCCTGTCACCTCTCTCCCACTCAGACAAGCGTTTGTAGACCACGAAGCCTGATGTTGGCTCCTGACATTTGCCTCACTGCTTTGCTTTTTGAGCAAATGCATACAGTGAGGAAGGAAGGTGGTCAGTTCTAAAATCTAGTTCCGTTTAAGCTCCTCAGGAAACCCCATGACAAACTGGCCTCTGGCTGGTGCAATGCTTAGGTGCGATTCCTTGAAAAGCCCCGGAACCAGTGGAGGGAAGATCTGTGCTCCTGGAGAATAGGCCTGGAATTACGGTGCTGTGTAGTTGGTACATAGGATATGTTATACAGGGGAAAGGGCAGAGTTGAAACAAAGCAAAGGCAATTCCTGCTGCCTCTTTGCTTAACTTCTCAAAACTACGTAGAAGTCGGACGGCTGCCAAATGAAAATACCTTTCGCAAACACTGTTGGATACTGTGAATTCATTAAGAAGAATGTTCAGGAGAAAGCAGGGGTCTAATCCAAAATAAATAGCATTAACAAATATTCCAGACCTTTGAGTTTGTACATCTGCTACCAGTTGAATTGTGACTGACAGATAATCCTAATACATGTAAATCCAGCGGAATACCAGACTGAGAGGGCAAGCTCTGGTTTGCCCAGCTAGCTTGTGAACGTAGCGCTAGAGGGCCTCCTCCCCACATTCAAAAGTTCTTACTCAAAAAGCTGTAGTGGTTACGATAGGCAAATGTGTACATCTTTCACTCTTTTTGTAAATTCAAACTAAAGGGGCGAGATGAAACCCCTTCGCCCTGCTGTGTTGTCTGAGCTGGTGAACCTGCCGGCGTCAGGTTGCTCTCGTCACTTCCGGCCATTCCTGTACGTGTTTCTGACTGGCTGCAGAAATCCCCATCTGCCACTTTATTAAACAGTGTTCATGTTCTGACTGGAAATACACTCATCCTCTCACCTGCATATTTTTAATTTAAAACTATTTAAGAGAACTGGGGTTCCAGTTATTGTATATATTTTTCTAAGAACCAAATAAAACAACCTGTGAAATGAACAAATGGATCGACTGCTTATTATTTTAAGTTTAAACCATTTGACCGTTAAAACCAACTGTTCACTTTTCTTCTTCCAACACGTATCCCTAAGGAGAATTGATAGTGATTTTTTTCCCATTCCTTCGGATTGTGGAATAGCGCAAATTCTGCTTACATTGATGAGTGTTCATTAAAATTATGATATGGCTGGAAAACATTTGCAATTTATATGCTTTATACAATTTTCACTATTTTAGAAATGTTGAACTTGGTTCTGAATTAATAGCATTTGATGAGTTGATTCTCAAAACATTTGATCATTCAGTCATAGGAAAAACATTCTGCAACATTCAAACATTAAAATGAGCATTGAATCTAATTTTGCTCTTGGATTAAGTTTTTAAAAATGGGTAAAACATTATTTTTTCAGACAGTACAAAAAGTTTGCAGAGTAAGTCATCTCTCCTTCTCCTGACCTCTCAACTCTTCTCCCCAGAATCAACTAGTTACGAGTTTGTTGGCATGTCCTACCAAAATACTCTGCTTGTACTAGTACATGTGTATGCTTATATCACCCCATATTTTTAAACAAAAGTGCATACTGTAGCTTCCATTTTCACTGATCCATGTGTCTTTGAAACCATGTGTTTTTCTCTGACCATCTACATTCTTTATGATAGTTGTATAGTATTCCAGTCTGTATATTCAAGTAGTCCCTGGTGAGTAGATTGTTTCTAGTCTTTTGCTACTACCAAAAAAGTCTATAGTGAACAGCTTTATATAGATAGGTAAATAGATAAGGTAGATACTTGGATATATATCTTTGGATATTTATGAAGATAAATTATAAGTGAAGTAAAAGAGATGAGCCTTTTGCTATTTACCATCTTCCAGAAGTTTCCTGATAGACACTTCCATCAACTCCCACAAATATGTGAGGATGCCTATCTTCTCACACTCAGGCTGGTAAACTTGCTGACCCTTGCCAAACTAATAGGAGAAAAATGATGTTCCCTTGTAGTTTAAATTTGCATGTCTTTTATTAATAAGGTTGAATTTTTTTAATCTGTTAAAAGTCATTTGCATTGTCCTTTGCCTTTTTTCTTGTGTGTTTTTCCCCTTAATGGCTTTCTTCTTTTTTTTTTAACACCTTTATTGTGGTACGGTTCCTGTCCAGTAAACTACACATATTTCAGATTAACAATTTGATGAATTTTGATACATGTAATCACCAGTGAAACCACTACCACAATCAAGATAGCTAACATTTCCATCAGTCCCCAAGAGGTGCGATTTTTGAATTCCCAGTTTATCCCTTCCCACCCTCTTTACCCTCTGGTAACCATAAGTTTGTTCTCTATGTTTGTGAGTCTGTTTCTGTTTTGTAGGTAAGTTCATTTGTGTCCTTTTTTCTAGATGCCACATATAAGTGATACCATATGGCATCCATGTTGCTGCAAATGGCATAATTTTATTCTTTTTCTGGCTGAGTATTCCACTGTATATGTATACTACATCTTCTTTATCCAGTCATCTGTTGATGGACATTTGGGTTGTTTCTATGTCTTGGCTATTGTAAATAGTGCTGCCATGAACACTGGGGTACATGTGTCTTTTTGAATTATATTTTTCTCTGGATATATGCCCAGGAGTGGGATTGCTAGATCGTATGGTAAGTCTATTTTTAGCTTTCTGAGGAACCTCCCTATTGTCCTCCATAGTGGCTGCACCAGTTTACATTCCCACCAAGTGTAGGAGAGATCCTTTTTCTCCACATCCTCTCCAGCATTTACTGTTTGTAGACTTTTTAATGATAGCCATTCTGACAGGTGTGGGGTGATTCCTCATTGTAGTTTTGATTTGCTTTTCTCTGAGAAGTAGTGATGTTGATCACCTTTCCATGTGCTTGTTGGCCATCTGTATGTCTGTGGAGAGATGTCTGTTTAGGTATTAAAGTGTATGAGCTATTTGTATATTTTGGAAATTAGTCCCTTATTGGGTGCATCATTTGCAAATATTTTCTCCCATTGTCTTTTCATTTTGTTGATGGTATCCTTAGCTTTGCAAAAGCTTTTTAAGCTTAATTAGGTCCAATTTGTTTATTTTTGCTCTTATTTCCATTACTCCAGGAGCTGGTTCAAAAAATATATTACTGTGATTTATGTCCAAGAATGTTCTGCCTATGTTTTCCTCTAGGAGTTTTATAATATCTGGTCTTAAATTTAAATCTTTAATCCATTTTGAGTTTATTTTTGCATATGGTATTAGAGAATGTTCTAATTTCAGTTTTTAACAGGCAGCTGTCCAGTTTTCCCAGCATCACTTACTGAAGAGACTCTCTTCTCTCCATTGTATATTCTTGCCTCCTTTGTCATAGATTAATTGACTGTAAGTGTGTGAGTTTATTTTTGCATTTTCTATCCTGTTCCATTGAACTATGTGTCTGTTTTTTGTGCCAGACTGTTGTGATTACTGTCACTTTGTAGTACAGTCTGAAGTCAGGGAGCATGATTCTCCCAACTCCGTGGATGAGGCTGGACAAGAGGCTTATGCGGGTTTCCTGGCGGAAGGAGTCAGTGCCTGCCCCACTGTTGGGTGAAGCTTGATCCTGGCCCTCTGGTGGGTAGAGCTGTGTCTTGGGGCACATCCAGAGGCATCTGTGACTCAGGAAGTCTGCTGATGGGTGGCGCTAGGTCTTGCTGCTAATGATCCAGTCAAGATTTCAGCCTCCAGGAAAGTTCACGTAGATGAACACTCCCAGAATGCCCGCCCTCAGCTTTTATGTCCTCAGGGGGAGCCGCAGACGTCCCCTACCTCCCCAAGGAGACCTTCCAAAACCAGCAGGCAGCTCTGACCCAGGTTCCTACGAAATCACTGCCTCTGCCCTTGGACCTGGCGCACGTGAGATTCTGTGTATGCTTCCCTAGAGAATGAAGTCTCTGCCTCCCCTAGTCCCATGGGGCTCCTGAAGTTAAGCCCCCCTGGCCTTCAAAACCAGATGTCCTGGGGTCTCCTCCTCCTAGCGCAAGAGCCCCAGCCTGGGGAGCCTGACGTGGGGCTCAGAGCTCTCACTCCTGTGGGAGGGCCTCTGCGACTTACTCTTCAGTTTGTGGATCACCCACCCGGGGGGTGTGGGGCCCCTCCTACCGTCCTGCTGTGGTTCCCTCTACGTTTCCCATTGATCTTTTTTGCTAGGTTCCAAGCTTTTTTTTTTGATAGTTGTTTAGCAGTCACTTGTGGTTTTGTTGTAGCCGTGATGCGACGCAAGCTTGTGGCCCTACTACTATGCTATCTTAACCAGCATTTTTCATCCTTTTTGAGAATCTCTTGTTGCCTTTTAGGAGTTCTCTATATAATCTAGATATTACTCCCTCAGCAGGTAAAATGATTTGCAAGTCTTTCTCCCATTCTGTGGGTTGCCTTTTTACTGTTGATACTCTTTTTGTTACATAAAATTTTTCTTTTCCGTAAAGTCCAATTTGTCTTTTCTCTTTTGTTACCTGTGCCTTTGTTGTCATACCAATAAATGATTGCCAAATCCAATATCGTGACAACTTTTGTTGTTCTTAAAGTTTTGTTTCAGGTCTTGCATTGAGGTCCTTGATCCACTTTGAGTGTTTTTCTGTGGTTTTGAGTTAGGGTCCAAACTCTCTAGCACATGGATGTCCAGTTTTCCCAGCACTGTTTGTTGGAAAGACTAGCGTTTCCCCACTGAATGGTCTTGGAACTCTTGTCAAAAATCACTTGACAACAATGAAGGTTTACTTCGGGGTTCTCTATTCCATCAGTCTATTTCTCTTTATTCCAGTACCACACTGCTTTGATCAGTGTAACTTTGTAGTAAGTTTCGAAGTAAGGAAGTATGAGTCCTACCGTTTTGTTCTATTTCAAGATTGTTTTGGCTATTCAGGGTCCCCTGAGATTCATATGGCTTATAGGATGGGTTTTTCTATTTCTGCAAAAAAAAAAAAATTGTTGGGACTTTGATAGGGATTGCATTGAATCTATAGATTACTTTGGGTAATATTATTGATATTTTAGCAATATTCACTCTTGCAACCCATGAACATGTGATGTCCCATTTATTTATGTCTTTCAGCAGTGTTTTGTAGTTTTCGTCATGCAAATCTTTCTTTCACCTCCTTGGTTAATTACTAAATATTTTATTCTTCTTGATGCCATTATAAATGGAATTGCTTTTGTAATTTCCTTTTCAAATGGTTCCTTATTAGTGCATAGATAATGCAACTAACTTTTGTGTGCTGACTTTTGTGTCCTGCTACTTTGTTGAACTCATTTATTCTAACAAGCTTTTTGTGAAATCTTTAGTTTTCTACATATATCATCTGCAGAGATAACTGTACTTTGTTCTCATTTTTTTTCTTGCCTAATTGCTTTAGCTATAACTTCCAGTACTGTGTTAAATAGTAGTTAAGGTAGGCATCCTTGCCTTGTTCCTGGTCTTACAGGGAAAGTCTTGATTCCAACCTTGCATTTGTTACAATAGTTATTCCTAGTGTCATCAACCTTGCATAAATATATTATGATCATTTCTTTAACATGCCATTGGAATCCGCTACTTAGGATTTTTATTCACATCATGCTATCTTTGTCAGGTTCTTAAATCAATGCTTTGTTAAGAATCTGGGGGCTTATTACACGCTGGAGTTTACCCTTGTGTTTATGTCACAAAGATTTGATATAATTCAACTGTCATCATCTCTGGGCCTTTTCTTCTCTAATAATTGATCCGTTGCAATTTCTTTCCAACCACTTTAAATAATTTGTATTTTCCTTATAAATCATCTAATTCCTGTCTCTCTCCCCATCTCACTATCTATTCAGGCTTGTGCCATTTTCCTTTATCAGTAACTGCTGGTATATCTTACTTTACATGAATTTTTACCTCCTTAATTTTTGTAATTATTTCCTCCTATGTTGTTACTTCCCTAGCTACTTGAATTCAGTGTTTAACTCATCTCTGTCAGTGTGTCTAAGGCTACAGCTCCCAGCTGAGCAC